TGGCTCTCGAATTCACGGATTAACGGGGAATAATCGAAGTGGGGTTACGGGGAAACGATTTCGATCACCGGCTCACGGGAGTGGCTCTCGAATTCGGAATCGTTTCAAGGAGATGGAGATGAACGAAGGCTTCCTCGGACAGACCAAGGAGAAGAGTCGGACACACCGAGCTCAAGGATGACCGGCGGACACACTGACGACGGCCAACAACAGGGCTGCTAGACAAACCGGCGAACCACGTGAAGAGGGGCGGACGAACCAGCCAAAGAGAGATTTCTCAAACTTCAATAATCAAACTTAGCTTTCTTCATGATGCATTACAAGTGTTTTAAAAGAGTTTAAGTGAAAACAATACATTAAATGCTAGCTAACATGCAAGGATAGGAGCCTAATTGTCATTAAATGAAGTAGTTGACAAAATATGGTTGTTGCAACTTCTTTAATGGGCCGAGTGGGCTGATGAGAAAGGCCCATGGGCTGCATCTTAGGCTTAGACATCGACAACTTCAAGTGTGAGAAAGTTTCGGGTCGAGCTTCGTCCGAAAAACGAAGTATCATCGTTATCGTGAACCCGGGATCCGTGGAGAACTTTGGTGATGGCTTCGGTAAGCGTGACACAAAGTGCTCGAGCTCTAGCACGAGTAAGTGGATGCTCGGCTCTATGACTTGCTCGGGGAGCCTTCGTGTTGTGCACGTCACATCCTGTTCCTGCGGCTTCGAATGATCGTGTAACGTCGTGATCACTCGGCATGTCTCTTGGCACCTGAGAGGCCAAGCCTTCAACGTCCTCAAGAGCTCCTTCCGTTAAGCTCCCGTCTTCAAGAGATGCTCCCGTCCTCCTCCAAGCTGCTAGATCCGATGTCCTCATCATAAGCCCTATGGTGGATTCCATATGGGCGTGATTGTGATTGTTATTTACGTGCTTACTGTGTTTTACTTATTGTATGTGTTTTCTTTATGGAAATGTCGACTGTACCATTCTCGTTGGGAACGGGATTTCCGGGTTCAACCCGGGCTACTCACTAAGCAGTTGTGCTTAGCCCTCGTGGTTTACATTTTTCAGATCACGAGGATTACGCCTAGCGCACCCGGCAGACGACGACCTGAGAGAAGCAACATCATGTACGGGATTTTATTTTGAACTCCGGGACTCGTATTCCCGTATTTTGTACGGCTATGTTATGATTATTCGGACATGC